CCCCCCCCCCCCCCGCCCCCGCCTTTTTTGGCCAGTTTCCATTTCATAGTATGCAATTAAGTATTTCGTTATGCTGTGTAACACATTTGATGCTTGAGCCTTTTATGTGCTTAAGAGGGAAAGACAAGGACAAAAGTCAAATGTGAACTGAATGTACTTGCCTAAATATCATGAGGAGGGCAAACATAACAGATACTATAACTAACTTCATGTAAACAGCTTCAAAATGATAAGATGATAAACTAAGGGCATGGAAAGAATCCTAAACCCTAGCATGTTACTGGTTTCTGAAAAGGATTCTTTTTTAAAGTAGGAAATATTACTAGATTTTGCACATGGCGAAAACTGCAGCTTAAAGGGACTAAGTGACTTGCCCAAGAACATAAAGACTTGGTAAGAGATAGCTGTGAAACTTCACATTGAACATTAGGCTAATTATGATTTAATTATCCTTAATAAAAAGGACATTAATTCATTATTCAGCTGTGCAAATATCACATGAAAGTGAAATGGGAGCAAAATATGGCCTTTATGAGTTACAAATTTTAAATAGTCTTACTTCAGGTAAGTCATTGTTTTACATAGCTCTTTAAAAAAAACAACACAGAGCAGGGGAGGTGTGTCACTGTTGTGTAAGTACTGGACTGCTGACCACAAAGTCGGCAGTTCAAACCTACCTGCCACTTTTTGAAAATACTATGCAGGGTGTCTGTGAGTGCGAACCAATTCAAAAGCACTTAACAAAAACAAAACATTAAAAAAAAAAAAAAAAAAAGAATTAATTATTGAGTACCTACATATAAGAAAAGGTTTGATGCTCAAAGTACCACAGCAGCACTCATTAAGTAGCCAGGCAGTGCCTAGGTACCAGAGGGTCTGCTAGAAGAGACAGGAATGTTGCAAAGTTTGATCCAGTGAGATGGGTGCCCTTTGAGGATTAGCCCAGACCCATATTTGCCACTATGGGTCACTTAACAACGACAAATTTGTCTTGCCATAGATAATACAGCTTTTCTGGTATGTTTGCTACAAGTTGTTGGTTTCTGCTAGCCAGGCTGACAGAGACTTAGGAGAGCAACTGGTTTGATGTTGGAATTGGATACCCTCGTGTGTGTCCTGTTTCGATTTATTTAGGTTTGAACTGTAAGGTTGGCAGTGCAAGCTTACCAGCCGCTCTTTGGAAACCCTATGCAGGGTTGCTATGAGTTGGTAACAACTGGATGGCACTTAGCAACAATAACAACCTGACTACCTGAAGGTAACTGCTTGGGTTGTTGAAAGAGCTGCTGGCATTAAGATGTCATTGATGAATTAAGTAGTGCTTACAGTGGACAAGTTAACATGCTGAAATTATCTGGTAGTGATTTCATTTTTATGTGAAGGAAATTGAACATAGCAAGTATAGCTTAAATGTAGGATTTTTTTGATATATTGTTGTTAGGTGCCATCGAGTTGGTACTGACTCAGTGATCCTATGCACAATAGAACAAAACATGGCCTGATCCTGTGCCAACCTCACCATTGTTGCTATGCTTGAACCCATTGATACTGCCACTTTGCCAATCCATCTCCCAGACAAATTAAGCCATGGCTATTTCTATGTCTACAAGGAGAAACTTGATTACTAACCTTTGCTTTAATAGAAACTGAGAATTGTTAAGGTTTATTCCCTATACTGATATGTTACAAACTGGGCCTAGAATTTGGAACTCAATTTAATCATGTAGCTCAGGGGGCAGGGGGACTAATGCTTTGAATGCAAGGTCCAATTGAACCTCAAGGTCAGTGGTTTAAGCTCACCAGCTGCTACTAGAAAACCCTGTACAGGATCACTATGAGTTGGAATGGACTTGATAGCACTTAATAACAACAGCTAGCATTAAGGACTCCTGATGTGGTGCTGTAGGATAAGCACTGGACTGCAAACCCTAAGATTGGCAGTTCAAACCCAGCAACTGCTCCTAGGAAACCCTATGAGTTGGAATCGATTCTGTGGCACTTAACAAACAACAACTAGCATTAAGGAGAGTTCTGATGTGGCACTGTAGGATAAGCCCTGGACTGTTAACTGCAAGGTCGGCTGTTCAAACCCACCAAAAGCCCTTTATGGAGTTGCTGTGAGTTGAAACTGACTTAACTGCAACACTAGCATTAAAACCAATGAAACAGACCAGAGTGGAAAAAATATTATGTATCACATACAGTAAACTTGAGTATTGGTTACATTTGCTTGAGTGTGCATATGTATGCATGCATGTGTGTGTACCTACAGATGAGGGAGCTTCATAAAGTTCTGTAGAAAATCAGAATGAAACATTTGTATCGTGTATTTTTGAAGCCTCCTCATAATGCTTTTATTGGATTAAAATATGAAAGTGTTTCTTAATGTAGGATGTGAGTTTAGAAGTTTGAAAGCCACAACTATACCTTTCTGCTTTTGAAGTAATTTAAGTATTTGAATTCCTAGTATTTTGATTTTGGGAGGATGAAGTAACTTAAGAATTAGGATGATAGAGACGCAACTTTTTAAGAAAATTTGATTACCCAATAAAAGTGAATTGAAATGTTAAATCTAAACTTGTCATATGAACCGTTGGAAGGTATTCTTATAACCCAAGGGAGATACATATGTTATAAACTTATATTTCATTTACTGGCCATGTTGTAGAAATAACACATGTCATTTAATGTCAAGTTACCTGATAGAAGAACATCTCTCTATTGAGACTGAAAAACTCTGTTTTAAATAAGGTCATCTTTTCTGCTTAGGCCAATGATTTGAAGTATTTGTTTTTATCTTAAATTTAAGACCTCAAAACCAGAGAACGTAGGGAATTGATCAGTAGTTTTGTTTTGTTTTGTTTTAATATTAAATGGTTTTCAGGAATGGTCATATAAATAAGCAATAAGTGCTGTTTAAGTTTAAGAAGGTGAATTATATAGACTTTAACTTAATGGCTTCTTTTCTCTTTCAAAGGTTTGGACCCCATGGGATCCCTGTGACAGTATTTCCCAAAAGGGAATATAAGGGTAAACCTGAAGCCATGCAGCTCCAAAGTAATACATTCCAACAAGGGACAGAAGTCAAGCGAGAAGCGAATGGTGCTGTTCCCCACGACCCTTCTCCTGTCCCACCTCCTGAGCCAACCCTGGCTGAAAGCCTGTGGACTTCCAAACCACCACCTCTCTTCCATGAAGGAGCACCTTATCCCCCACCTTTGTTTATCAGGGACACATACAACCAATCAATACCTCAGCCACCGCCTCGGAAAATTAAGCGACCCAAACGAAAAATGTACAGGGAAGAACCCACTTCGATCATGAATGCTATTAAACTACGACCTAGGCAAGTCCTGTGTGACAAATGTAAGAACAGTGTTGTTGCTGAAAAAAAGGAAATTAGAAAAGGTAGCAGTGCAAGTGACTCTTCTAAATATGAAGATAAAAAACGGAGAAATGAAAGTGTAACTACTGTGAACAAAAAACTTAAAACTGACCATAAAGTGGATGGGAAAAACCAAAATGAAAGCCAGAAGAGAAATACTGTGGTGAAGGTTTCAGGTCTTGCTCACAGCAGAGGTAGAGTGGTTAAAGTTTCTGCTCAGGCAAATACATCAAAGGCTCATTTAAGTACTAAAAAAGTGCTCCAGAGTAAGAACATGGATCATGCGAAAGCTCGGGAAGTGTTGAAAATTGCCAAAGAAAAGGCACAAAAGAAGCAAAATGAAACCTCTACTTCAAAAAACGCACATTCAAAAGTCCATTACACACGTCGTTATCAGAACCCTAGCTCAGGTTCCCTTCCACCCCGGGTTCGCTTAAAACCACAAAGGTACAGGAATGAAGAAAATGACTCTTCTCTGAAGACAGGACTTGAGAAAATGCGGAGTGGCAAGATGGCACCCAAGCCCCAGTCTCGCTGCACCTCCACCCGCTCAGCAGGTGAGGCCCCTTCAGAAAATCAGAGTCCCTCAAAAGGCCCTGAAGAGGCCAGCAGGGAGGTTCAGGACACAAATGAAGTGCATGTGCCTGGTGAGCTGGATGAACCACAGACATTGGGCAAAAAGGGCAGCAAAAGCAATATCTCTGTTTACGTGACCCTAAATCAAAAGAAATCTGACTCTTCCAATGCCTCAGTGTGTAGCATCGATAGCACAGATGATCTGAAATCTTCCAACTCTGAGTGTAGTTCTTCAGACAGCTTTGATTTTCCTCCAGGCAGTATGCATGCACCGTCCACCTCCTCCACTTCCTCCTCTTCAAAGGAAGAGAAAAAGCTCAGTAATTCCTTAAAAATGAAAATCTTTTCCAAAAATGTCTCTAAATGCATCACACCAGATGGCAGGACCATATGTGTAGGGGACATTGTTTGGGCCAAGATTTACGGTTTCCCTTGGTGGCCAGCCCGTATTCTTACTATAACTGTGAGCCGGAAAGATAATGGCCTTTTAGTCCGACAGGAGGCCCGCATTTCATGGTTCGGGTCTCCAACAACATCTTTCCTTGCTCTTTCACAACTCTCCCCCTTTTTAGAAAACTTCCAGTCACGCTTTAATAAGAAGAGAAAGGGCCTGTATCGAAAGGCCATCACAGAGGCAGCTAAGGCTGCTAAACAGCTGACCCCTGAAGTGCGGGCTCTGTTAACACAGTTTGAAACTTGAACGTGGACAGTAAGGTAGGCAAGAATGATTGGAAGGTGCCACGGATTTTCTAGTCCAGTTAGAAAAACTTTCATGAAATAAATACCCTGGCCAAATGGGAGAGTAAACATATTCAGTTGGCTGCTTTTTAAAAAAAACTTGTAGCCATTTTTTGTTTTTGATTTTTAAACTGAGAACCTTAAATTGAACATGTGATCAAATTTTGTCTTTAGGAAGTGAGATTGTAGCAGTATTTTTCAGTTTTATAGTCTAAAACCATCACAAGGCATAGGAGCCATAGCCTCAACTGACAGTGAATTTTTGCAGGGACTCTTGGTAGCCATTTGTACCTAGTACAGTACACACACACACACACACACACACACACACACACACACATATATATATATATATATAATGTCTAGCCTGTCACTATGTGACAAGGGTTGCAGACCTGGGATGGCAGTCATGACTGGTGTGCTGGGGGAACAGTGTGAATATTTAATGACTACTTGTTTTGTTTTTTAATGAACACTCAGCCTTTCTATGCACATAATGGCATTAAGAGTTTGATACTTAAGTGTTTGACAAACAGATGCTTGCTCTTCAGTTCCGGATTTTAGGAGCTAGCCCAGTATTGAGGATTAAAGGTGTTAAGGCTGGATAGGTTTGAATCATCTTTACTTTATCTTTCTTCCATTGAGGAAATAAACACTTTCAAACTTCTGGTTTGGGAGTTCAGATAGGTTTGTTTTTCAATATGTAAATAGCTGGTTCCTATTTTGGTCAGATTTCTCCTGACTGGCTGTTCCTAAATTTTTAGGATACGTCCTACTAAATTACACTTTGTGAATTAATTGTCATATGTGTATTTGTTGCATTTTAGATGTACCTAATTTGATAATTTTTAAAAGATATTTCCATTTAAGGTATCTGTTTGCAGGTCAGAAAATGAGAAAATGTAATTGTGTAATGCTCTGAAATGTAAAAAAAAAAAAAAAGCTGTAAATAAAATTGACTAAATCTGAATTATTTGTGTGTGTTTCTCAAAAAGCTTGAAAATTTTCAAGATGGTAGAAAGCATTTCTTTGTAATATTTAGATGAAGGAGGTAAAAGAGCAAGCTTATTTTCCTATTTGCCCTCTTATATAGTATATTATAAGTAAAATTCAGATGACAAGTGATTAATCAGTACATTCTTAGAATGGGGTTTCATAGCATAGAAGTCTGGTATGCTAGATTTAATATCCCTCTCCTGTTTCTCGTAAATGTGTGGGTTTTAATTTTCCATTTTTAGCCTTAATATTTTAATCACATGTTTTATTATCTTAAACTCGGGTTATTACAACCAGTCTCTTTTCAATGGTGTTTGGTTCTCTGCCTCAGGTATGATTGCTTTTGGGGGCTAGTAACTAAGCTCACTTTGACACGGCCTATTTGTCCCTAAGATTTGATTTTTTTTTTTTTTTTTTTTTCTTATTTGTTTTTAGCTCTGTATGGTTAGTGAAAAATATGTATCATAGCCTGTGGAGGCAAATTCATCCCAAGATTTTTACAGTGGCTTTCTAATTTTTGTGTCTTAGATAACTAACAATTTTCAAATTTGATAAAATTTTGATAAATTTGACATAATTGGAAACATGAAATGTATTTTCAGGAGAGCAACTTTTGTGACTTTCTAAATAATTCAACTTGAAAGATCTTAGTTACTATGGAATTTATAACAAAAAAATTAATGTTGATTGCAAATCAGTAGTCTTCTGTCAGTTTCCTTTAAGTTATGATTTATGTACCAATTTCTAAAAAGCAAGTAGAATTCCTGGGAACTCGGTCAATGCTTTTTGATTATAATAAACACACAGTAAAAAATAAAACCCAAGATGTCTCACTTGAATAGAACATATTCTTTCCTGCAAACAGAAACAACTATTTTTTAATTCTTTGATTATATATAACAGGTTGAAAAATCTTCAGTGTGATTTAAGGGTTGTAAGCCAGTGTCTTCTTTAAAAAAAAAGTATTTGTTTCAGATTAATGAATTTGTGACTAAAACAAAGGATAAGATACTTTGAAAGTTTTGAAGTATAAAGTTCAGTAAGGTTTAAACCAGCAGAGCAAAAAGTCACCCAAAATACTTAAGGCTTTGTATAATGATCCAGTTTACCTTAATAGTGATTCTGAAAATAAATATATGGCTAATACAGTCAAGTGCTTTGGCAGTTGTGCTCTGTGGCATAAACCAAGTTTATGTTCATGCCTTTTGGAAAAGGTTGTACTATAATTTCAAATTTGCTTGGTTTCTAATGATCATGCCAAATTATCCCTCCATTTTAAATTGGCAGTCTGACATTTCATCTGAAGTTCCAATAGGGAAATTAGTTTATTTTAAGAAAAATTTTAAATCATGTTAAATAGTATATTTTCAATTAGTCCAGTAGGTCCATATTAAAACAGTGCCTTTTATAAACAGAAATTTCATACGTAGCTGGATAAATGTGTCCAGTCTGTACTGTAGATGGAGATAAGTTGAATTGGGTAATTGTAGCCATTTTCCTTTTCCATTTCTCTTTGAAATAATAAAAGGCAGTAGTCACTTATTTGTATTAAGATAAGCCAGATAAGTGTTTGTTTCCCTTTGCTGAGAAAACCAAGTTTACACCAGATTTCCAGTGGTCTTTTTTAAAAAGAGGCTGAAACAAAGGATTAACGACCAACCAAATCAATACAAGGATATCTTTATTTTTAGAAATTCTTTACACTTTAAAGCATCAGGAAGATATTGCTACCTTTGGTGTCCTAAAATCTAGACTAGAAAACTGAAGTTCCTTTGGAAGGGATCTCTAGTCAACTCTACAGATGTGGAATCAGAGACATTTAGTGAGATAGGAAAACTAGGACTCATTAGTCTTAATGCATAGGACCTGATGGTAGGTAAGCGCCCAATTCTGGAGGAGTGGCTGGTGAGTTTGAATAGCTGACTTTGCAGTTCAAACTAACCTTATGATTGAGTACTTATTCTACAGCATGGTTAGTGCCAAGTAAAATAGTAGTTTAGATTAGATTTCAAACAAAGAACGTGGAACTAAAAATCATTGAAATGAATATATCTTAAGTTACTTGGTTTTTGTCTTGGCTACTTTGATACTAAACCTTGAGATTTTCATCATTAAAATACATTAATACAGTTATGGGGTATTTTTAATATCTAGGTTAGTCTTCTACGTTTCCAAGGTACAAAACACTAAATTGAATTTCAATATTTGAGTAGGTTACATCTTTCTAAAAATTGATGTTTGAGGAAAGACAAAGTGTACAAGTTAGTCCGTTTTTCCTTGTGGAGAGTAACTGAATTGGGATTTGAAATGGCCTTAAGAAATCTGTACATTGGATTTAAAACTAGCTAAATTGTGTACTTTTCCATGTTTTTTTGCTGACGTTGTTCACTTGTTAGTACTAGACCGCAAAGCAGACAAGAGCCTTGGGCAAAAGTTCAGAAAAGTTGATAGGGTTTAATTTAGGAACTTTTACCCATAATGGCCTCCAATAGGGATTTTCCACATAGAATAAAGATTCACTTTTCTAAGTTTTGTCACATTTAGTTTTCACTTTGGGGTTAGACTAAATTGTTGTTAAAACAGTCTTTAATTGAAATGCCTGATTGAAGGACTTAGGACTAAAGTCAGAGGCCGCAGCCTTGCCAGTTTAGGGAGAAAATAAAATAGCTAAGCTGTAAAGGGTTTCGTACTTGGTACTTGCAGATTGTGTACAATCAATGTATTCCTTCATCCACCAGAGAAAATAGAATTAAAAAATAAAACAGCCAATATGCACTGTCTTGGTATTTTTGAATAAAGAGATAAGAAAGTAAAAGTCAGTGATGATAGACTTTTGTTGGTATCTTTACTATAGATAAATGATACTAAGAAGAAAACTTAAAAAAAAACAAAAACTTAGATACGATGAAGGTCCCCTGTCTCACCTTCTTTGTGTAGTGGCATTAAATGAAAATCATTTCTCTTTGCCATGCTAATGTAGGGGCCACCAAGTTGATTCCAACTCAGAGACTACAGTTTCCAAGGAGCAGCTGTTGGGTTTGAACTGCTGACCTTGTGATTCACAGACCAGTGCTTATCCTACAGCACCACACTAGGAGCGTACACTATAATTTGTTTTTGATAGAAACCCTTATAAGTTTGTGGTGGTGTCTTTCAAGAGTGTGTTTGGAAATGTTATGGGAGTATTTTTCTTAGCACTGTGTTTGGGACCTGTCATAGCCAGTGTCTGGCTTCCAGAATTCCTGTTCATCTTACAGTCTTGCACAAGGAAATGTTGTCTAGACAGGGTCATTATGGGTCGGACTTGACTCAGTGGCACTAAACAACAATGCTAATGGTACTCTCACTTTTAAGCATTGTGACTAGTGTAACTGCCTCTTAGGAAAATTTTAGGTGAATAACTGTGGGTTAATGCACCAGACTGCAAAACCATTTGAACTGCAAGATCAGCAGTTCAAGCTTACCAGTCGCTCCTTAGAAACCCTATACAGGGTCTCTATGGGTTGGAATCAACTTGAAGGCACTTAACAACAACAACAAATAGAACTGCATATATGTTTTAAGCTGAGGTTTTGTAAAAATCTGTTCCCTTCCTTTGACGATTTTTTGAACATTTTATTTAACTTAATGTAATTAAGATATTTTCTAAAACTGAAATTATTTAGATACCATCACATTCTTGTCCATATTTTCATGATGTGTGTGTTAATTTATTTCAATTACTTTTCCCAGTATAGTTCAGTTAATGGAAGACAGCTATATGTAGATATTGAGTACCATAGTTTTGCATGTAATGTGCACCTGTAACATGCATAGTGCACACAGGAAACTAATGCAAAAAGGGACTCTGCATTTTGTCAAAAAACTTCTAATGCATTATTTATATGAAAATATGGCCAAAAAAATGGGCTCACCAAGAGCTGGCGACTTGGTTTAATTTCTGAAAAAAAAAAACTAATTGCTGAA